TAAATTGTATAAGTATTTCAACTGAAATATTTTCACAGGTATTGTCTTTTTGCCTTTGTTCAGAGTACCTTTGACAAACGTTGGCAAGGATGCGGAACAACAGTTGGTGTGGTGTTTGATTACATAAAGTTGACACAACATTTGGCAATAAATACTAAAACTGCACATGTGTATACCTATGATCCAGCAGTTCTGTCCTGAGGCATGGTATGCAATGGGAATGAATACATATATTCATCAAAAGATAGGTACTAGGACATTGTAGCGGCATTATTGGTTAATAGCCAGAAACTATAAACTGCCCCAATGCCCAACAGTCAAATGGATAAATTGCATGTTCATACAGAGAAATACAATGAAAATGAAAAACTACAACTAGCATACCAATATGGGTGAATTTCACAAATACATTGAGTGTATTAGAAAAGCACATGCTATATGAATCCATTTATATAAAAGTACAAAAATAGGTAAAACTAATAATACATGTTGTTAAAAGGAAGGATAGTGGTTTATCCTTGGGAGAGGAGGGTAGTTCCTGTAATGGAGGAGAAGACGACCTCTGAGATGCTGGTGCTGTTCTGTCTCTTCATATGGCCTTTAGTTACATGGAAAGTTCAGTTTCTGAAGATTCATCAAGCTATCTTTTAGGACAGTGCTGTCCAGTAGAATTCAAATGTGAGCCACATTATGTAAATTAAAATTTTTTAAAAGCCACATTTTAAAAGGTTTGAAAATTATTAATTTTTATATTTTATTTATCCCAGTATATCCAAAATATTATCATTTGAACATAAAATCAATATAAATATTTATTGGGATATTTACCTGTTTTGGTAACAAGTATTTGAAATCCAGTGTGTATTTTCCACTTACAGACTCAAATTAGCAACATTTCAAGTATGCAGTAGTCACACGTGGCTAGTGGCTACAGTATTGGACAACACAGCCTTAAGATATGTGTACTTTTTTGTATGTGTAAATAGTTCAATAAAATGTTTTAAAAGTTTCCCACAAATGAAGATATTTCTGAGTATAATTGTATAAACTCAAAATTGAATCATGTTTGCTGATTATACTTTCATTTCTTTATTTTCTGTAATTTGTAGGATAAATTTCAGTGTTGTCTTTATATTTTGATTTTCAATAATTGCAATTCTCTAAAAGCTTGAAAAACTGAAAAATTTGGTGCTTCACCATTGAATACTTTAATCAGAGATTTCCAACTAATTTTGAACAAAATATAACTGAGGACTCATTTACAAAAAAAAAAAAAAAGATCAATGCCATTTTAGGAACTAGGTTGATTTCATAGAAGTTCTTCAAAGGCTCAAATTTCTAAAATCCAAAGTGCCTGTATAATGTCATGTGAATTTATTTGTATTCAGCATCAGCTTTGTCACAGAAATTTTATAGTTCAGTCACTTTACCTATGGATACATAAATATATTTGTAATTTATGCAACTCTAATGTCTAAATGATTGGTAGAATACCTCACTACTTTGGATAAGAATTGTTTGGATAACAATTATGAATTTCATGTGTACCACAACTAATTACTAGTAAATTTCTATTTCATAGTTTTAAAAATTCACTGAGAATGTTATTTCTTATACGGTGTTTAAATGTTTGCTCCACCAACATTTGTATTTGTATTATCAGTTTAAGAACCAATAACTTTATCTTCATTTTTGTACTTTTTAAATTAGCAGTCACAAAAATATGTTTCACCTTCAATATAATGACCTTCCAAAAGTTCTATTTTGATTCTATAATATGATTAGAAAAATTGAACCGTATTGGGTTGAACAGATTTTCTATTTGAAGTACCTAATGACACTGATGTAAAACTGGTATCCTTTAGCTTTTTGCAGGGTTTTTCTGTCAGCAAAGCCAACATATGAACAGCCTTGCTTTTTGTATGTTGATGAGAATGTGAGTGAAAATTTAGAAGAGTCGTTTGATTTAAATAAAAAGTTATGTTTTACAGAATGGTGTTAAATGTGCCATTTGCAGCTGCACATGTTAAATTGTCGCCTTTGAAGTATATTTTGATGCTTCTTCAGCAGATTTATTTCTTTTGGTTTTCATGTGATAAGTGATATCATTCTGGTCCCCACAGAGAATAGGAAATGTCGTTATTTTGTACAAATTTGCATTTATCATCAGCTTTCTTGGAAACGAATTTGATTCTTAATTTTTCATTAAATATATACTTCTATTTTTTAAATTCATTGCACAGAAAGGTAAGTATTACCAAACTGTAAAATAAATATAATTGTAGATTTAGCAATACAATAAAGACAAAATCAGTGTAACAAGAATGGTTAAGAATAGTCTATATATATGCTCTATGAGAGCACTGCTAGGTCTTTATTTACCACATAGGTTTCACAAACACCCAGCCACCTTTTATGATGACCCCACCTGACTACTTTGTGCAGACTGTGGTATAGACCGTGGAGTAACAGGCTAGTATAACAAGTAGCTGGTGGGGACTGGAGTGCTGAAAGCCTCCCACCACCTGAGTCTGTATAGGGTTATTTGTCCCTATCAATTTGAGCAACTTTATGGGTGAGTGTATAGTTTTATCAGTAAGTACCCTTTATGCTGTCCTTGAAAGGGAGGTATTACTTTAAGTTCGCAACAGGAAAGGATCAGGATAACACTGGATCACTGATCATCTTTCAGATTTAACCATTTAAAGTGCAGACTCTGTTCATTGCACATACATTTCACATCTTACTAGAAAAGACCAAGATAGAAGCTGGAATTAGAGAATAGAGAGCTACCAAATCTCTCTTAGCTTATTTTACTTCAAATGTTAGTAATAATACTTTTTTAAATTTTAATAAGGTAAAAATCTATGATCATTGCTAGAATACACATGAGTGGCTAATAACTTCCTTAGGGAGTTAGAGTACATCTTGTGTTATATGCTCTCATTTCATCTTGTAGTCCTTTACTAAGTCACAACTGATAATTATATATTGATTTTTGTAATTATTTGTTCATTGTCCACCTGCCCCTCTAGACCAGAAACTATAAGGAAAAGCACCATTTGCTCCCACACATTGTATGCATGGCACCCAGCACAGTGACTTGGGCATAATAAAGACTCACGGAATATTTGTGGAATAAATGAAAAAGTGAATGAATGCACAGGACAGAAGGGATATCCTGTTAACAGCAGACCTGTCCTGGTTGATACCTAATCAAATAAGAGAAAGTCCTTGGCATTTGGGAACAGTGTTCTTTTGCAGGTGCCTCTGGCTTATGTAGTACATTCTGAGAATACAGTTGCTATTTATAGTAATGTTTAGTCACGTGTAAATTTTACATGTTCACAAATGCTTATAAAAGAATAGCATTTATTGAATGTTGTCAGGTAGTGCACTTAAGCATTTTTATATGTTATCTCATTTAATCTTGAGACGTAAGTATTACTACTACGTGCATTTTACATGTGAGTTTACTGAGGCTTAGAAAATGAATATACCTTGCCCTGGGTCACAGAGCTAGTAAATGCAACATAAGAATGGAGACTTGATCACGCCTTTCACTTTTGTTTAAGTTATAGACCTTGTGTCAGTGAAAATTGCAAGTATCAAACAACCCTACTAAAAAAGCCAAATAAAGGATTTATCACACAGAATAAGATATCAACAGTATGCAGTTCAGGCAGTTATATTATCAGGGGCTGTGGCTCTTTTCATTTTCCTGCTGTACTATGCTCAGTGTGTGGCAGCATCCCCAGTATTATGTTTGCAAGATGGTTGCTGTATCTCTGGTCATTGCATCGGTTCCCAGGAAGAAGGAAAGTTGACATGTCTCTTAAATGACTTTCTCAGAAGGCCCATTCATTGACTTACACTTCTATATCATTGGCTAGAACATAGTTACCTGGCCACCCCTTGCTGTGATGAAACTAGGACAGTGAATATTGATGACTTTTTTGGCATTGTTTTTGATATTTTAGTTTCTTCAAGTGTGCCATTGAAAATCCTAGTGTTGAGAAGTGCGTGACTGCAAATCACACACTTGAGCATCCTGTGCTGTAGACAACGAGGGAGCTTTAAGTTGGGGAGTATTGTGGTCAGATTGTGCTTTACAAGGCACGCTCTGATGGCTGTGTTTTGGATTGGGGAATGACAGAATGGAAACAGGAAGAGACTTTGCAGTAATTTGGGTGAAAGATCTTAGGATCCTGAACTAGGAAAATGTTTGTAGGAATGAAAAGGAGCCTAAAGATTCAAAAAATAGGAGGTCAGATGGATAGGATTTGGTGGTTGATTGGCTCTATGGAGACAGGGGGAGAGTGTAGTGTCAAAGGCAGCTCCGGTTCTTCACCAAAATGAGTGAGTAGTGCCACCATCCAGACTAAAGGAGTGTAAAGGGAAAGTTTAAATTGGTTACCTTTTAGACACAAGAAGCTTGAATTATCTGGGTTTCCTTCAGATCTTTATCCATTAGTTGGGAAAGGATTAGGATAGATTTGTTATATGTTACAAATAAATTTTTCTTGATAATATCCCTTGGAATTTTCTTTTCGTTGTCTAGAAGTTTCTAACATTTGTACAGTCGATTATGTTAATATTCTCTTTTATATTTCTGGCTTTAGTGTCATTCTTAGAGTGCCTGGCCTGTCTTATCCCCACACTGTAGAAGTATTTAATAATTTCTTTTTCCTTATACTTCTATGTTTTAAACATTGACTTGATCAGGATTTTACTTTGGTGAAGAGGATGAGGTAAGGACAGAAAGGGAAGAGCATTTTCAGTTGTTAGAATATGACTGAACACGATTACTATTTCCAAGGTGTTATAATAGAACATGAAAATACTGAAGTTTTCTTTTAGAAGTTGCTCTGACTTTTTTTATGGCTCTGATGTTTTGAGAAATACTCTGCTGTTCATTTCTTTCAAAAAATAAGACACCCCCCAATTTTTTTTATTATAAATCAAAATTAAAATATCTATTTCATATATTCTTATGACAGCAGGAGGATGCATTAGCACAACAGGCCTTTGAAGAGGCCCGGAGAAGGACACGTGAATTTGAAGATAGAGACAGGTCTCATCGGGAGGAAATGGAGGTGAGAGTTTCACAGCTGCTGGCAGTAACTGGTTAGTACTTTCCCCCAAACTCTCAGGCTCTATTTGTGATGTTTGTGCATAATGATTTTAAATAGTTGAGTAGTTCAGTGTCTTTCATTTTTTAAAAGTTGTACTCTGTGACTTTGTGTTTATTAAATGTAATTGCTATAAAGAAAGTTAGTCTTAATTTTAAGGTTGTACATGAATTCCTCATTTATTGGTCCTCAAATTTACTATAATGTATATTTTCTATTAATTGATTGATCCAAATATCTTACCTCTTTTTTCATAATTATCTTTCAGATGATATGTAAAAATTACCTTACGTTATCATAGGATACATATTTTTAGAACATTATTAAACTCTCTGGGAGTAACATTATTTCCCACTTTTCTATGAATATTTGCCTTGATTTTGTAACATAATTTTCAGTCATTTGTATAGTCTCTTCACTAGAGGAAAATTTATTTTCAAACTACTCAAAGAATGGAATTAACCTAGACTATTTTTCTTTTAACCTTTTTATGGTAAAGTACACACCAAATCTACATCAAAAAATATGTAGCTTAGGACTTCCCTGGTGGCGCAGTGGTTGAGGGTCCGCCTGCCGATGCAGGGGATGCGGGTTCGTGCCCCGGTCCGGGAAGATCCCACATGCCGCGGAGCGGCTGGGCCCGTGAGCCATGGCTGCTGAGCCTGCGCGTCCGGAGCCTGTGCTCCACAACGGGAGAGGCCACAGCAGTGAGAGGCCCGCGTACCGCAAAAAAAAAAAAAAAAAAAAAAAAAATATGTAGCTTAATTATTAGAAGGCTAATAACACCCTTATAACCATCCAGGTAAAAAAAAAATAAAAATGTGACAGTTACCCCAGTAGCCCCCTCCATGTGTACATCTAATTATGACCTTTTCCCTCCCTTCAAAAGTAATAATTTTCTCAATTTTTATGGTAATCACTTCCTTGTGTCTTTTTATAGTTTTATTATCCATGTCTACTTCAGTCTTAAACACTCAAATTTAGTCTTGTCCAGTGTTTAAATTTCATATGACTATCAACAAAATAGAATAATTTCCAGGCATTAAAAAGAGTTCTGGAGATTGGTTGCACAACAGTGTGAATGTGCTTACTTAACACTACTGAACTGTACACTTAAAGGTGGTTAAGATGGTAATTTTTATGTTGGTAGTTTTTCCACGTTAAAAAAATTTTTTAAGTCATTGTTACATAGTAGAGAAAATGTTTTTTCATTCACTAAATTATATATACACTAAATTAATGTAAAGTGTGTGTGTGTGTGTGTGTGTACAAAGACAGTGGTTAAGAGCCCAGACTCTAGAGCCAGATGGCAAGATCTGAATCTGGTTCTGGCACTTTATCACGTCTGACAAATTATTTCACCTTTCCGTGGCTGAGTTTCCTCATCTATAAAATAGGGCTAATTGTGCCTATCTCATAGGGTCATTGTAAGGATTAAATGAGTAAATACATGTGAAAGCACTTTTAGAGAATGTGGCACTGACTAGGTGTCAGCTGATATTATTGGTATTATTTCATATATATGTTAAAAAATATATATATATATATGTAATTTTAGGGGGGCGATACGCAAGGCCTCTCACTGTTGTGGCCTCTCCCATTGCGGAGCACTGGCTCCGGATGCGCAGGCTCAGCAGCCATGTCTCACGGGCCCAGCCGCTCCGCGGCATGTGGGATCTTCCCAGACTGAGGCACCAACCCGTGTCCCCTGCATCAGCAGGCGGACTCTCAACCACTGTGCCACCAGGGAAGCCCTTCAATCTTCTTAATCATAATTAGCCCTTCTTCTCTGTCGTTTCCAGAGCACTTCTCATTTCTATCATTGTTCTTATTGAACAGGATGTTAAAACAATTATAAAGTTGTCTGTACTCTACCTTAGTGTGATCACCAGTGAAGTGGGGCCCCTGATTTTATGACCTCCACATTACCCACCACAGTGTTTTGTACATTGCATTTAGTTGTCAAATGGAGAGCTTCAAAAAATAGCTCCTACTCTGCCTGTCTGAAAACTAGAGCCTGTACGTTAAAGTAGAATAATACATGTTAATGGTCTCCGGAAAGATTTTTAAATGTTTACAATTTGTTGGTTTATATTAACTAGGTAATTTATTAAGTAATGAACTCTAACTGTGTTGTGCTAGATTCTGCATTAGGGACTGGGAAATACATAGATGAAAATGCATGGTTTCTGTCCTTGAACATCTAACAGTCTTGAGGGAAAATAGATGTATAAACAGATAATTGCAGTCTTCTTTAGCAGCACCTGTACTTAAAGGGGAACAGTGGCAGTGCAGAGGAAGGAGCACTTACATCTGCCTCTGCCTGAGGGATTCACAGGAGAATATACTTGCAGGAATTTGAAGGAAGAATGTGAATTTGCCAGCTACACAAGCTGGGGAAAGCATTCTGGACAGAAGGAACAGTGTATGCAAAGGAGTGAAGGAAAAAGAGATCTTGTCATGTCAGAGAACATGATTGGTCAATCTTTCTAGAGCAAGCTAACATGGCTTTAAATGAATATAAGAATTGTTTTATAAAAAGTGCTGTTCAGGGGCTTCCCTGGTGGCTCAGTGGTTGAGAGTCCGCCTGCCGATGCAGGGGACGCGGGTTCGTGCCCCGGTCCGGGAGGATCCCACATGCCGCGGAGCGGCTGGGCCCGTGAGCCACGGCCGCTGAGCCTGCGCGTCCGGAGCCTGTGCTCCGCAGCGGGAGAGGCCACAGCAGTGAGAGGCCCGCGTACCGCAA